ATACATTTGTACTTTAGTTTTCTGTAAAACCTACAACCTGCACTTTATCCTCTGTAAATTTCATCTAAATGTTTCAGCTTGTGAGAATTTTGAAGCTTTATTCTGCCATCATATTAACTCTTCCCTTTTAGTCTTAGGCTGTCAGCAGCTTTGATAGCAGAGCTTCTCCATCTCGATCAGGCAGATCAAGAAGAGAGCCCTAAAGCAGTCTTCCAAAGTATTTGATACCTAGCTTAAATATCCTGGAACATTTTACAAAATATCTCTTTAAAGATTCCTCTTAATGTTTCTATAACAAAGAGTTGAAATATGTATAATAAAAAATGAGTGAGAGACTAAATTCCATTTTCTAAATATGTCAAGATTAGGCATTCATATTCAGGGTTATAGTACCGCTGCATGAATATCCTTTTTTTTTAATTAAAAAAAACTCGTTTATTTATTTATTTTTGGCTGTGTTGGGTCTTCGTTGCTGCGTGCGGGCTTTCTCTAGTTGTGGTAAGCGGGGGCTGTTCTTCCTTGTGGTGCGCAGGCTTCTCATCGCAGTGGCTTCTCTTGTTGCGGAGCGTGGGCTCTAGGCGCATGGGTTCAGTAGTTGTGGCTCACAGGCTCAGTAGTTGTGGCTCATGGGCTCTACAGCACAGACTCAGTAGTTGTGGCGCACGGGCTTAGTTGCTCCACGGCATGTGGGATCTTCCCGGACCGGGGCACGAACCCGTGTCCCCTGCATTGGCAGGCAGACTCTCAACCACTGCGCCACCAGGGAAGTCCTGCAGGCGGATTCTTAAAACACTGCGCCACCAGGGAAGTCCCTGCATGAATATCCTTTTGGCCAAAAATGTATTGGTTGGGGGAGGGAGGTATTTTTCTCTCCTCCTATAAGTCAGATCTTATGTATTTCATGTTTTTGTCTTAATCCTTAAATCATAGAGTGATATAATTTATTGTCTTTAATCTTGGAGGCCAGGTTTTAGTATCTTTTCCTGACTACTAAATGCATTTCCTCCCCATCTGTAGGATATTAAAGTCCTTTGTGGAACTAGAAAGTCTTTCATTTCAATCATATAAAATGAAATTGCTTTAATAACCTGTATGTTTACTATTTAATCCATATGAGGCAGAATTTATATATATGTAGCCATTTCCCCAACTAGTTATATACTAATGGGTAAGTCTTTTTTTTTCCTCTGCCCTTGTTTTCCTCATCTACAAAGTTGGAGAATTAAAATTAAGGTTGGTGTTTACTCTAACATTCCATAATTCTGTGAGGTCCCTTTAGTTGAGGATAGGAGTTCTTGGACATGCATGTGATTAGCCAGCAGGTAACACCTGTTTTCCTGTCCTAGGCACCACCAAGCTGTTTGATAAACCAAGGAAGCGAAAACGACAGAGACATGCTACAGCCAAGGTGCATTGTAAAAAAGTGAAAAATGACAACTCATCAAAAGAAACTCCAAGCTCCGAGGTATTAAGCAGTTCTTCATCTTTTGACCTTCCAAAGCGCAGATGCTTTTCACAGTAGAGGCCACATCCCTTTTCCCTTTGAGTTTACCTAAAAATAGTATTCTGTTGAAACAGCTCGTAGTGATAAGGAATCCTGGAGAAAAAGATGAATCTGATTCTGGTAGAAATAAGTCAAAGCACTAAGGCAGCTGTGGGTGTGACCTTTTTAAAAGATCACACCCCATGCTCTAGGTGTCAGATGAAATACATAACTGTTTCATCATGAAGTAAGCTTGTTCTAAAACCAGAGAGCACAATATCAAGTAACTATATAATCCAGATGAACTTGGTATTGCCCTTTAAAAGCTGAGACTGCAGTTAGGGGAAAAACTCATTTGCTTATTTATTGAGACCACCAACTGCTTATTTTTAGAGTAATGTTTGTAAACAGTGACTTTTAGGAAACAGAGATTTAAAGCCATTTTCTTGAAGGGCATCAGTGCAGCCATTGATGCTATCCCTAGCTTTCCAACTCAGGTTAAAAGAGAATTAGAACAAGTCAGGTCAGCATCACATATTATGATGCAGAGTGTTTCTTTCCAGGACAATTTGAATAGAATGCCCAAGGGGGGCATTATTTAGGAAACACTGATCTTGGAAGGACAAATAAGTAATCAAATAAACTTAAGAATGTTTTCTCTCCCTTAGTGAAACCTTAAAATGGAACAGCTCAAAAAGTTCCAGTGGAACAGCCTCAGAGCAGTTAGTGGCAGGGCATGAGGCGCCCACTACCCGCCCAGTTACAGCAGGGTTAGAACTAACATTGCATGCAGTCCGCCCACGTGATTGGCTGAACATCTGTAAGTGCTTAATGGTTAGACAAATAGCAGCCCAGAGGGAGGGGGTCAGATGGAGGAGACATCAATAATATAGATGTGGGGCGTTATTTTTTCTCTGCAAGGGAGAACTGATGACACACAGGACAGCTGCAAGCCCCAAGGAGACCATTGAGGAGGGTGTAGAAAATGACCACGGAATGCCTGTATCTAAAAAACTGCAGGGTGAACGAGGAGGAGGAGCTGCACTCAAGGAGAATGTTTGTCAGGTAGAGAATGTTTGCCCACTTGCATTTGAATTGCATGCTTATCTTTTAAGAGAAGTCCTCTCTTGTCTCTTGATGACCTAGTCATGGTTAGAGTAAAAATTCTCTTGGATGATTCCAGTGGAATCACTTACTTTAAGGATTTAACTCTTCTCTCTTCCCACAAAAAAAGAAGAGGAATATTTAGTGTTGCCCCTGGGTAGATGCCCTGAAGTAGGTCTGAGATGGAAGGGGTGAATCTGTGGTTGCTCAGCCAAAGATAATTTTCCTGCACCTCTAATGGTGTGAGAATGTTTGGGTTTCTAAGGAATTTTTCAAGGAGAATTTTCACATAGTTTGTTGGGTTTGTGTGTGTGTGTGTGTGTGTTTCTGCTTTAAAGTACTGACTTTAAAGAACCTACCACCTGTATTTTTCTATTTATTTAATAAACATTTATACAGTATTTTTTTTTACTGTGTCAAGTGTTTTTCCAATCACTTTGTAAATATTACATCATTTAGTTATCATAACAATCTCATAAGATAGAGGATCATTATTACCCTTGTTTTATAGATAAGAAAATTGAGGTACAGGGAGGTTAAATAGCTTGCTTGTAGTCACTCAGTGAACCCTGGGTATTCAAACCCAGGCAATCTGGGTTTTGAGTCTTAACCACTATGTTGTCTTGCTTCTCTGTGAGATGTGCCTCCACTTTAATGTCAAATGCCTTTATCTTACTTGGGAGTAGAGTCAGTTAAATGGATGCATTAGTTATATTCTCTTTTCCTGGTCTTGATTTAACCTTGTAAATACTTAAAAACTGGCATATAAAAAGTTGAAAATATTAGTTTTTTTTTTTTTCTAATTGAAAGTGCTAAAAAATAATAATTTCCCCAGGCCTAGAATATTATGGCCAGTATAATTTCAGCTGTTTCTTTGTCTGTTCATTTCACTGCTATATGAAGAAGGTTGATTATATTCAGACCTGCTCCCAAACAGTGTTACTCCTCAGAGACTGTTAAGCCCACAAAGATTGTCATATAAGAAGGTATTGTAACCCATGGTCCTGGTTTGTTTGGATCAGTCTTTGTTTAAATCTGTTGTGCTTGTATAATTTATTAATAGCACCTCCTTTCATGCTCAAGTGTCCTAGTTTGAAGGATGAACTACATGGTCATCCCAATTAAAGGGTTAGTCTGTAACATTTGGTTAATTTGAAAAATTTATTCCTCAGTACATACTGTAATTGAAGTTTTCCTGTTTAAGTGATGAAGGCGAATTTGTTTATCGTGCAGGAAAGCTGATGTTGCTGGCACTCTGAATATACAAAACAAAACATGTAACATTTATGGCATTTGTCAATTTTTGGTCATGAATAGTAGATCATGGGAGAGCCAAACATGAAAGACTAGCTCAGAATCCCTTGGGGTCCCCTCTTAATCCCTGGCTGCCTCTGGCCTTTTATTACCAAAGCTCTCCTACTCATTTGCTTATTTAAGCTTTGATGTTAAGTGGCCAAGACCTGTTCCGTTTCTTTGGGTTCTTGAGGATATTAGACTTGCCTGGCCATCTTTCCCCCTTTCTTGTCTTACAGAATAAGTATAAGAGATTTTTCATTTTTATCATTTTTCTGCTAATCACTATGGGGAAACAAGTCAGGATATTAGAGGGGTGAAAAGTAACAAATGTTGGGAATGTGCAGAATTTTCATAAATCATACAACGTTTTCAAAAGCAACAGATCCCGATCTTTATTTCCTAAGGCTGTATCATCATTGACACCCTGTTTTAGTGAGATTGTCTCAGAAAGGTGATCTCTCTGATTTTAATATGGTTCTAGGTGTATCTCAGGGATTGTTCAGATCTTAATCAGGGCCCTTCTGGACTGTTATGACCCAAGTCCCAGCTAGCCAGTATCTCTTGCTTGAACCGTTGCAGTAACCTGTTTGATTATCTCAGCTTCTCCTCTCACCTTTTTACTCTTGAAATTTTTCATGTAGCAGTCATAGGGATCTGTTTTTAGATGAATACCTGATTTCAGCCTTCCCTTGGTACAACCCTCATTATAATGGCACACCTTTGCAATTAGAATAAAATCTGAAACTCTGTACCGTAATCGGTAAGGCCACACAGTCAGGCCCTTGCTTGCCTTTTTCTTACTTCATTTCTACCACTTCTAACTTTTGTTCACTTTTGTCCAGTGGCACTGGCTTTCATTGTGATTCATAGGAATGCCATGATTTTTCCTGTCTGTGGGCTTTCTGTACTTTCTTCCTTCTTGGTCCCTTCTTCAGATCATGTGGCTGACTTGTCATTCAGAGCCCAGTCTAAGAAGTCATTCCTAATCACCCAATCCAAAGTTGTTGTTTGAGGGCTCTACCCAGACACTTATATTTTCTGATATCTTTTGTTTGTTTGTTTACTTATATCTTTGTATCCTTAGAATATAAGAATGATGGGAGCCAGGGACCTGTGGTACCTGGCATAGAGGAGGTAATCATTAAATACTAGCTGAATGAATGGTGGGATTTTTTGTTTCTGGCAAAGCTGCTTCTTAACTTTTGCTTTAATGAAGACCTTCTGCTTGGGATTTTTAAAAATCTTTTTCTATAGACAGATCTGTTTTCTTTCTCTTAACAGAACTGTGAGAAACTGGGTGAGCTGCTATTATGTGAGGCTCAGTGCTGTGGGGCTTTCCACCTGGAGTGCCTTGGATTAACTGAAATGCCCAGAGGAAAATTTATCTGCAATGAATGTCGCACAGGTAAAGTAGTTAGAGAAAGGTCTTCTTCCAAGGAAGGATTGAGTTTCAAGTTTTTTAGGAAAAAATCATTTATTGGAGGCACTTTTTTTTGTGGCAATACTGGGCTAATTCCTACAGACATAGAGATAGGTGCTCTGTGGTCTTTGCCTTCAAAAAAACTCAAGTGAATAATGAATGTATAGTATAATGCAGTGCAAAAAGTGTTGTTGTGAATGTTAAAGTGCTGTGTGAATGAAGATGCACCAGTGCTACAGAGGAAGATATCTGAGTTTGGTTTTAAGAGAGAAATAGAAATTGGTGTGTGGAGGGGAAGGATAGAAGGTCTAATAAAGTAAGTATGAAATATTTGGGGAACAGGAAGCATATAGGTCAGTATGTTTGGAGTTTAAGATATTTTAGGGAAGAGGTGAGGCATAGGTAGTGACGAGGAGGACTTCTGGGTTACTGATGATATTTTATGTTTCTTGATCTGAGTTGTGATCAAGAAATGTGTTCACTTCATGATTATTTGTGAACTTATAAGGTGTGCACTTTTCTGTGTATATTATACATCAGTAAAACTGCTTAGCAAAAAGAAGAGAGCTATTTTGTGAGAGTTAAAACATACGGATTGGGTCAGAAACTAGGAATGGTCAGATGAGACCAGCCTGTAAAGCACCTCACAGCTGTGCTAAGGAGATTGCTCTTTTTTCAGCATTATGAATGGATGTTAGAGTATGAAAGTAGTAAAGAAATTAGGGTTGACAGTAAAGATTTTATGCTCGTAAGTCATTAAAACCGTAGGTGTGCATGATGCTGCCCAAAGAGAAAGCGTCTGTAGAGTGAGAAGAGGGCTAATAACACTACTGGGGGATACCCACTTAAAAGGGGCTACTGGAGGGTGAGGAGGAGCTACTCAAGAAGGAATGTCTGTGAAGCCATGGGGATGGGGTGTCATCAGCAGAGACAGATGGGGCAAACAGACCAAGGAGGTTCTAGAGTGAAAAGGGGATCTGTTGTATTTGGCAGTGAGAGAGTGCCTTACTAATCCAAACTGAAAGATGAATGGGTAGCAGTATGCACTATTTCTTACAGAAGCTTGACTTCAGTGGAAAAGGGAGCAGTAGCCGAAGGAAGGATGTTAGAGGGTCAGGAGGAAGAACAATCTTGAGTAGGATGAAGGTTAAGAATTGTGTAGGGA